TATTAAAAAATATATTTTACTTAGAAAATATATATTTAAAATTAATATTTAAAGTTTTATTTAAAAATTACAAAAATAAAAGTAGATACAGACAATTTGCTGCTAAACAATCTAAGAAATAATTATTTATTAATTAATTAAAAAATAAATAAATATTTTTTGATCAATTAATTTCGAAAGCTACGACTAATATCTGAGTTACGCCCAATTTCTTAGTTATAGTAAATGCCAATTGCAATCTACGTCATCGTAACACTTTTGACGTGATAAAACATCAAAACTTATAATAACCATTTATAAAATTATTCATAAATGATTCAAATAGTTGAATTAAAATTATTATGATAAAGAGAATATATTATACTTTCTTTTTATGATCAAAGTCTCTTCGCTAACCAATAATGAATAGAGTTTAAACAGCTATTGTAAGAAACCGCTTTAGGAGTCGAAAACATTAATGTATCAACTGTACTAGACTGATTTATCTTATAAATAAATATCTAAATAAATTTTTTAAAATTATAAATTTTAGGTTTAGTCAAAATTTATATAAAGGTTATTATAAAAATTATAATCAGAAAAAGAAATAATAAAATAACTTACATGTATTTAAATCTAATTATATAATTATTCATATTATTATTGTTATTATTTACTAGCCTATAAAACACAATTATATAGCATTTATTAAATTTTTATTTTTATTTTTTTTTTATTGGAACTACTAATTTAAATTATACATTTACTTATTTACTTTTTATATTAGCAATTATTACTTGCCTGAAATCAATAGTTCTTTTATTCAATATGAAACATTATTTTCCAACAATTCTAGTACCTGTTCATATATAACAAACATTATCCCACTTTGCATTGCAGTCCAGGCAACCCTTGGCCCAATTCCACTGAAAAGTCCTTTAATCCCATGATTTTTATAATTCCATATCATTCCTTCCCATATACCTGTATAATAATGCGTATATTTGATTGCACTTTGAGGCGTAACTGGAGTTGTCTGCTTAGAAGAAACTGGTTTTTTTGCCTTAACTTGTTTTTGTACTTGAGTTTGTAGTAGCGTTTTCATAACATCTAACGGTGTCGTCAAAGCGCCTGCCAGACCTCCCGCAAATGATCCAGTTGCAATTTCCCATTCAATGCTTAATTGACTATCTTGATTAATAGTAT